TTAAGATTTGGGTAGGAAATTTTCTAGATCTTTCTAGTCACCACCAACACCCCTAACTTTTTTTTTTTTTTTTTTTTTTGAGACAGAGCCTCAAGCTGTCCCCCTGGGTAGAGTGCCATGGCTTCACTGCTCACAGCAACCTCCAACTCCTGGGCTCAAGCGAGTCTCCTGCCTCAACCTCCCAAGTAGCTGGGACCACAGGCGCCCACCACAATGCCCGGCTATTTTTTGGTTGCAGCCATTATTGTTGTTTGGCGGGCCCAGGCTGGATTCAAACCCGCCACCTTAGGTGTATGTGGCTGGTGCCTTAGCCGCTTGAGCCACAGGCGCCGAGCCAACACCCCTAACTATTAAAGCTTCTAGCAACGGCCAGGGGTTATTACTTGACTGGATACTCCCATTTCATGGAAGAGAAAACTGAGACCTAGACACCTGCAGCAGTTGCCCACAGTTCCCCAGGTTCCTCTCCCGGTTTCATGGCACTCATCCTGTGGACTTCAAAATCTCCTGTCTGGATTCCTCCAGCCTTCCTCCTTCTCTCCTTACTCAAGAGCCAGGGCCCATAAGGGAGAGTGTTATGCATAAACATATCCAGCATGTATGCTATGAACCACTACTCTCATGTGACTGACTCTTGAAGGGCAGTCAGATTCAAGATGATCAGGGGTACCACGTGGAGATGCCATTCTCTTGGGTGGGGAGGGAGGCGGTCACCAAATGGCCACTCTCTGCAGCATTCCTGACCACGCATGTGAGAGTGTGTTTGTGGAGAGGCAGCCGGGTGCAGCAAGGAGGCCAGTGGCTGGTGAATAATTTATCAGGACAGCTGATAGTACCTCCCCAGAACTGCCTGCCACCCCCCAACCCCCTCGGCCCGCCCTCCTCATGTATGCCTCCCTCCCGCCTCCCTGGCCCAAACCAGATGGACCAGCTCTCCCGGTGCCCAGCCCACAGCCCCCCCCCCACTCCGGCCAGCCAAGTCACAGCCTGGGCACCTTCAGGCAGGAGGGTGGTGGGTCCTGAACTCGGAGACCAGAGAGCGGGCTTCTGGGCAGAGATGGCTCTGCAGAGCCAGGTGTGGTCACCAGCCACGCCCATGTAAGTGTTTGGGGTCAGAAGGGGCTGGTGGGAAGGGCCTGGGAGGGGATCACAGGGGATGCTGGCCTTGCCTGGGAGCCAAGAGCCCCAGGTGGCCTCTCCTCAAAGAGACTGGGAAAGTGGAGAGGGTAGGCGACCAACCTCACAGGATCTTCAATGCCTTCCTTTCCCAGAGGGTCATGGGGTGGGGGAAGATGTGCATTCCCTTTGCCCACCTTCTTCTTTGGGGATTTTCCACTGACATGCTGAGAACCCAGAGTCTAGCCTGGGGGTGGGGCTACCACTGGGGAAGGTCAGGGTCTCTCACTTCCACACTTTGCTTCTAGAATGACCCGCTTAATGTGTGTCCCGGGGTGGGAGGAAATGCCCAAGATCCAAGAGAAGTTAGACCTTTCTCCCAAATGGAGAAAGACAATGGCAAAATCAAAATGATGACCTACATCATGAAATGGCCACCAGCTATTTCTGGTGGCTATAAGCCATAGTCAGCTACATTGTTCTTACAGAGTCAGAAATAAACAATATTGAATGGGGTATGTTGAGTATTTTAATATTTGAGGTCTGTGGGCTTTTTAAAGTAACAGGGGTTACTGAGGTTTGTAGAGTTTTAGAAAAGGGGCTCCCCCAACTAGGGACCCAATTCTGTTCTTCACCCTTCTGGGTCCCCCATTGCATTATTCACCAACTACACACCTGGTTGCCTAGCAATGGGAACCCGATCCCCCCCAGCAAGGAAGAGGCAGAGAGATTACATCTTGGGGGTAGGACAAGAGAGAGAGGACTTCAACTGTCCCCCAGGAGCAAACCTATAAGCAGGGAGTCTGGGCTTCCTTTGGGATATCCTGCAAAGTGTGACTTCAATTTCCTGTCCCAGCCAAAATCATGGCCCCCCTGGCTGATCTCTGCCTTCCTAACTGCCAAGGGGTTCTTGTTCCTGAGCTCCCCTATATTCCCAGTATTTGGGATCCAAGAGCCTCAAGTTCTGATCCTGATTCTGCAATCTTGGGTGTATCTTTTCACTACTTATCAGAACCTCAATTTCCCTATCCATAAAATGGAGACAATACACTACTTACCTCCTAAGATCATTGGCAGAATTAAATGAGTTACCATAGGCTAAGCATTTGAAACAGCACCTGGCACATGATAGGCTAATTTTGTTCTTAGTTGGAATGTTAACTCAGCAAAGAGTCAACTCTAGCTATCATGATCAGGGCAGGGGGTAAGAAGCAAAAATGGCCTCGGGAGCCCAGCAGAAGGTCCATGGAGCACTTAGAATGCTATATATTATAAGTACTGTTATATACTCATGGTGTATCTGTAGAAAGTCTGGGAGGTCCTAGCTAGAGTTTGGCCTATGAGGCTAATACTCTCCTAATAGAGTTAGTGTTCAAATTAATAAATGTTTGAGGGCTTGCTCTATGCCCACGAGTGTGGTGTGGCTCAGTATCCAAGATGACAGGTAGATAGATACTGCCTTCCAGATATTAGCCTGTGCAGTACAGTCAATATAGCAACATAGACAGAGTTAACCCCCTCCCCTTTTTTGGAGACAGGGTCTCTATCAGCCTGGGCTAGAGTGCAGTGGCCCTATCATAGTTCAGTGCAATCTCAAACTTCTGTGCTCAACAGGATATTCGATGCACACCTGTAACAAGGTTGATGCAACAATTAATACCCCCTAATCATCCTGCATATATCATAGTCAGCCTTCCATGGAGAGCCAAAATGGAACCAGGAGCTACTCTGGAGGCTGGGAAGCAGGAAAGTTGAGGTAGATGGGTGAATTTCTGGTTAAACCTTAAAAAGCAAGCCCCCCCCTCCTCCCAGCTCAGAGTCCAGCCCTCAGCAGTGTGACCCAGTGACCCTTGCACCCAGGGAAAGGGGTTGGCATTTGGAGGAAGCAGCTCTGGAGTTACCATGCCAGTGGTGGGATGGCCACTTCTCTCTTCAAACTCTCTCACTGCACCCTAGCACTTAAGGGATCCTGGGTAGGAACAGAGGTCCAGAGAGGGTGTGGACCTGGGAACAGACACAACATGGTAGAGGCCTGGCAGTATTCAAGAGTTTCTGTAGGTTGGATTGGGAATGGTTATTATAATTAATCATGGGAATTATTTAAATCATAATCAATAATAAATTATGGTACTGTTTTTGGAGCACTATGTCCTAAGCTTTTCCCTATATGAATACTTCCTTGCAAGGGTCCTGGAAAGTGGCTCAGCGCCTGTGGCTCAAGCAGTTTGGGCGCCAGCCACATACACTAGAGCTGGCAAGTTTGAATCCAACCAACAACAATGGCAACTGCAACAAAAAATAGCCAGGCAAGCCAGGCAGGCCAGGTGTAGTGGCTCAAGCTTGTAATCCTAGCACCCTGGGAGGCTGAGGCCGGTGGATTGCCCTGAGCTCAGAGGTTCGAGACCAGGATGAGCCAGAGTGAGACCCTGTCTCTACCAAAAACAAAAATAGCCAGGTATTCTGGCTGGTGCCTGTAGTCCCAACTACTTGGGAAGCTGAGGCAATAGAATAACTTAAACTGGGCAGCTCCTGTGGCTCAGTGAGTAGGGCGCCAGCCCCATATACTGAGGGTGGTGGGTTCAAACCTGGCCCCAGCCAAACTGCAACCAAAAAATGGCAGGGCCTTGTGGTGGGCACCTGTAGTCCCAGCTACTTGCGAGGCTGAGGCAAGAGAATTGCTTAAGCCCACGAGTTGGAGGTTGCTGTGAGCTGTGTGATGCCACAGCACTCTACCAAGGGCGATAAAGTGAGATTCTGTCTCTACAAAAAAAAAAAAAAGAGAGAGAGAATCACTTAAACCCAAGAGTTGGAGGTTGCTGTGAGCTAAGACTCCATAGTACTCTACTGAGGGCCACAAAGTGAGACTCTGTCTCAATAAAAAAAGAAAGAAAGGGCTCGGCGCCTATAGCTCAACCGGCTAAGGCGCCAGCCACGTACACCTAAGGTGGCAGGTTCGAATCCCCAGCCCGGACCCGCCAAACAACAATGACGGCTGCAACCAAAAAATAGCCGGGCGTTGTGGCGGGTGCCTGTGGTCCCAGCTACTTGGGAGGCGGAGGCAAGATACTCGCTTGAGCCCAGGAGTTGGAGGTTGCTGTGAGCTGTGACGTCACAGCGCTCTACCCAGGGTGACAGCTTGAGACTCTGTCTCAAAAAAAAAAAGGGGGGGGGTCCGGGAAAGTGGGAGGGGCTGTCAACCTATCCTTGCCCATTTTAAAGATGAAGAAATTGAGGCTTAGAGAGGTAACCTAGCAAGGTCTTATTCTCTTTTTTTTTTTTTTTTTTTAAGACAGAGCCTCAAGCTATCCCCCTGGGTAGAGTGCCATGGCATCACAACTCACAGCAACCTCCAACTCCTGGGCTCAAGCAAGTCTCCTGCCTCCGCCTCCCAAGTAGCTGGGACTACAGGCGCCGGCCACAACGCCTGACCATTTTTTGGTTGCAGCCATCATTGTTGTTTGGCGGACCCGGGCTGGGGATTCGAACCCGCCACCTTAGGTGTATGTGGCTGGCGCCTTAGCCGCTTGAGCCACAGGCGCCGAGCGGCAAGGTCTTATTCTCAACCAATCATGGTCTCTGTTCACTGCGCTCTCCCCTGACTTCTCCTAGGTGGAAATGGGAAACTATAGGCAAAGAAATGGGATCTAGGCTCTTTCCATGATGCTCAATTTCAAGAGGTAGACTTGGCCCAGTGAGGTGGCTCACTCCTATAAGCCCAGCACTTTGGTGAGGCCGAGGTGGGAGGATCGCTTGAGGCCAGGAGTTCAAGACCAGTCTGGGCAAGGTAGAGAGACCGTGCTTCTAAAAAAAAAAAAGTCTTCTGAGGTTTGGGAGCCCCCTCAGAGTGCGTCCGGTCTCCAGTCTCTGCCTTCTCCCACAGGCCCATGGCGGAGAGCTCCCTCTACCGGCAGCGCCTAGAAGTCATCGCGGTAAGCATTCTCGCACCCCCAAACTTTTCCCCAAGCTCCCTCCTGGTCTCCTAGCACTGTGAAGGGTGGAGAGAGCGCCCTCATCTCTAGCCCTGTGCAGGACGCCCCACCTAAGTTCCCAGCCCCTCTGCTCTGCATCTCCACTGCCACCATCAGAATGGTGGGGCTGCCAAAACCTCCATCATCCGATATCCCATTCCTAAGCCCCAAACACTCCATGTCTGAGCCCCTTCTCTCAGACCAATATTTGCCAGACCCCCACCTCTCAAATCTCCGTTTTGGGACTCCATTCTTAGAATCCGTCCTATGGGACCTCCAACTCTGACACTTGTCCCTCTGGACCAGCTTTCTAGCTCTCCATCACTCTGATCCGATTTTTGTCTGTCATCCTTCTGCCCTTCATCTCTGCACCTTATCTTTTTGCACCCCACTTCTGCACTCTGATCTCTCTGGCCTCCCTATCTCACCCACCCTCCTCTCTGCACCTCATCTCTTTGCACTCCAATTTTCTGAACCCCACTTCTGTACCACCGTCTCTCTGACTTCCTCATCGCACCTACCCTCATTTCTCTGGACCCCATCTCTACACTCCAGTCTTTCTAAACGCCCACGTCTGCACCCCCTTTTAGGTCCCCTTCTCACTAGCATCCTCCTTCGATCCCCGAATCTGAACCCCATATCTCGGACCCCCCACAGCTCTGATCCTCCTCCAGATCTCCATCCCAAGGCCCCACCCCCCAGCATCCCCCATCCACAGACCCCCATTGGGCACAAGCAAGGCCTCCGCAGCATCCCGGGCGCGGCCGGCCCCGCCCCCGCTCCGCCCTCCCCACCCCAGTCTGCCCGGCCGCTGAGTCAGCGCCTCCGCAGCCCCCTCCCCGCCCCCCGTGCCCACCTGCGCTTGGCTGCCCCCTCTCAGCTCGCAGCACCGGGAACCCCGGGGAGCCCCGCTGGAGGAAGGAGGGAGAGAGGAGGGTGGAGGAGGCCGCGCCCAGCAGGCAGTCAGCTCTGGGTCTTCGGTGCGCAGGAGAAGCGGCGGCTGCAGGAGGAGATCCGTGCCGCGCGCCGAGAGCTGGAGGAGGAGAAACTCCGCGTAGAACGGCTCAAGGTTGGGGGCGGGAGGGGGGCGCCTGGCCAGCCTGGAGAACGAATGAAGTAGTAGGTGTGCGAGTTGGCTTGGGAGATGATAGGAGCCTCTGTCCAATTTGAGGGGGGCAACTAGGGGCATTGGCCCCAGCTTTGGGGTGGGGGTGTCTCTTCCATTCTGAAAGGGAATGAAATGGGGTGGTAAAGGAGACATTTGTTCCACCTTCGAAAGAGGACGGGACAGTGTTGGGAGGTGTTTGTCCTAATTTGGGGAAGATGGGAGGAGTCCCGCGTTGGGATAGGGAGGGGCAGAAAGGGAGGGACATTGATTTCACCTTTGGGAGTTTGTTCCATTTTGGAAAGGTTGTCGGGGCAAGGTGGTGTCTGCCCAAGCCAGAGAGGGTTGAGGTGATTGTTGGGTGTGTGTTCCAGCTTGGGGACTATGGGCTGGCAGTAGGGTGTCTGTCCTGCCTGGCAAGGTAGGGGGGCACTGTGGGCATGCATTCCAGTCTAATGTATGTCCCATCTGGGTGGCTGTGGGGAATCTGCCTAGCATGCAGGGGTCCCAGCCCCTGCTCCAATCCCATCCCCAGCGGAAGTCTCTCCGAGAACGTTGGCTAATGGACCGGGAAGCTGAAGGGCCAGAGCGGCCGGAAGACCCCACCGCAAAGGAGCCCCAGTCACCAGAAAACCTGGCTCAGGCCCGAATCCAGAATTTGGAAGACAGCTTGTTCACGTGAGTAGAGCCCTGTTAGCTCTGCCCCAGTCCCGCTAGACCAGAGCCCTGGGTGTACTCTGGGGAAGTGGCAAATTGAGCCTGGGGGTTCTCATTGATTGAGTCTGGCTGGGGGCCTGGCTCATAGAAGCCTCCTCTCTTCTCCAGACTCCAGTCCCAGCTACAGCTATTGCAAAGTGCATCCACAGGTGCCCAGCACAAGCCCTCCAGCAGGCCCAGCTGGCGCAGACAGGTGAGGGGCCTGGGGCTGGGATGGGGGGTATGGCCAGAAGCCCCCAAAACAGGATATAGAACATAGGTGCTGCTCTCTCTAAGAGTATCTTGGCCACTAGGTCTTCATTCGAATTCACCTTTTGCTCTGTGATCTTGGGCAAGTCGATTTTCCTTCCCAAGGCTCAGTTTACCCATCTCTAAAATAAGAATGACAATAGTGCATACTTGGAAAAGCCCTTGGGAGTGCCTGTGAGATTAGCTTAGTACCAGTAATCAGCATGAGGAAAAATTTTGATATATAGTGGCTAATATGGTCCCATGAATAATGCAGTCAGAAAATAGGGGCAAGTGGCCCTGGGATTAGGCCTGGAAAGAGTCCCCATGAGACACTCAGGTGATTGCATCCATATGTTTTTTTGTTTTGTTTGAGATAGTCTTGTTCTGTCACTTGGCTAGAGTACACTGACATCATCAGAGCTCACTGTAACCTCAATTCCTGGGCTCAGGCAATCTATCTGCCTCACTCTCCTCAGTAGATGGGGCTACAGGCATATATATCACCATGTCTGGCTAATTTTTTCTTTCTTTTTTTTTTTTAGAGATAGTTCCTCACTATGTTTCCCAGGCTAGTCTTTAACTCCTTCCTGGCCTCTAGTAATCATCCCACCTTGGCCTCCCAGAGTGCTAAGATTACAGGCATGAGCCACCATGCCCAACCACATAGGTTTTTGTTTTTTGCTTTGGTAACACCTTTATTAAGCTATATAATCCACATACCATATAACACACCTGCTTTTTAAAAACAGAACACTTCACATTGAAAACTCGCACTTTAGGTTTACTTTGACCTCCAAAGATCTGGAGACATGCACGTCTGGTTGCAGTGAAGTACAGGACTTTTATAGTCTTCACCTCTCTCTGATGTTTTACCTCAAAAAGCCACCTCTGGGCTCGGCGCCTATGGCTCAAGCGGCTGAGGCACCAGCCACATACACCTAAGGTGGCGGGTTCGAATCCCCAGCCTGGGCTCGCCAAACAACAATGATGGCTGCAACCAAAAAATGGCCAGGCGTTGTGGCGGG